AGTTCTTCTACACTATTTCTGAACAAAGAAGTCGCTATCCATAAACTGTGTCGACTTTGTCGTCAGTTATTATCACACAATACGTCTTCCCCCATAACTAGGAAATGATGAAAGGCAAGATGGAGCCCTGAGATGTTGTTCCGAACAATAAAAAAGTTGTTATCCACTAAGTTTTCAAGCCTTCATTGTTCCTTGACCTATCAAAGACCTGAATATGGTAGGGTTTTAGTATTCTGTTTCTCTAAATATCCCTGGGTACAGAATGCACCTGACAACCCTGGTTGAAATGACACAGAACCAGACAAGAGTCTGGCTGATCTGCAGTACCTCACCAGCCTCCCCACTCCAACACCTGGACAGAGAGGGATCGTGAGAAAGGCTTCAAGATGGCCGCTAATGATACCAGGTTATAATTTTCCAATTGAACAACTCCAGAATGGTAATGTGGAGGCAATGCTGGGTCAGGATGTAACATATTAACCAATTTCATGGAGCACAAGGTCCGATTGTCAGACTGATGCTACCTTTGTCATGGTTTAACACACCAGTGTAATAGTTCCAACACTCCCTCTAATTGTCTGTCTGGCCCACAGACTGTGGATGGTCTCCACAACACAAGACCACTGAAACTGAAACTCACAAAAAGACATGCTGAACCTTTTTTAGACATATCCATCTAACATTTATCAATGTAATAATAGTTCTGGGACAAAACTCGGTGGATTCTTTTTCATATTATCATAACACTTGTGTTCATATAAACAAAATATCCACCTTCCAATATTCACGTCTGCCATATTATCTGAGTGTACTGTGCAGAACTGGCATTCAGAACTTTCATTATGATAACTTCTTCTGATGCTTGAAAAGTACAGATGAAGGGGTTATACTTGCATGGTATTAACAATTAATGAAGAAAGGCACGACTGTCTATTAGTAGCTATTTATACTACTCTATCATAGAATACAAAATGTTAGAAAAGGTCGATATGATATTGAAGATATTGAGAAAAACTGCCCAAGGCATTTAAAATGAAAATCATTATTTTCCATAGTCCTTTATATGCCAAAAAAAACACCTGACATTATCACATTACATAAAGACGTTTGAAGTCTCTATTTGTAACCGAATACACTGAAAGATTATTCATGTTCTGAAAATATTTGTCCATATAAAATGTGGTGATATGATGTAAATATGTATTTCATGACTGAACAGATGATAGGTAAGTTAGCTGAGAAACAACAATCGATTGATTACCTGCTGGGCTAATTGTCTACCCTACCTCTATGTACTTTGTTTTCATGTTACCATAACAACTGCATTTGTTTTACAATTTACCTGCTTTATATAACACCATATGGCGATTTGTTCATGTGACTGTTAATTGGCCTGTCATGTCATAACAGATGACTGACTGACTGACTGACTGACTGAGTTTGGTTTTACGCCGCTTTTAGCAATATTCCAGCAACATCACGGCGGGGACACCAGAAATGCATAACAGATGAACTATGGTCACACCACAAAATATAAAGGTGTTCTATCATGTATTTTGAGTGGTATATTATGCACACTCTAAGTTTTTCATTGGATTTTCTGTCAAAACCAAGATTTCTTCATTTGATGATCTACATGTCTGACATCATCCCTGTGACATCGCAACATCACTACAGTGTCAACCAGTTCAAGTCATCCTCAAATGAGCACAAGGCACAAGGTGCTGTTGTACAAAGCGAACTTAGCGCTACGGTGACCTAACTCTCATACCATAACATAGACTTATGGTAGTCTTAGAAGCTAAGGTGACCTAACTCTCATACCATAACATAGACTTATGGTAGTCTTAGCGCTAAGGTGACCTAACTCTCATACCATAACATAGACTTATGGTAGTCTTAGCGTTAAGGTGACCTAACTCTCATACCATAACATAGACTTATGGTAGTCTTAGCGCTAAGGTGACCTAACTCTCATACCATAACATAGACTTATGGTAGTCTTAGCGCTAAGGTGACCTAACTCTCATACCATAACATAGACTTATGGTAGTCTTAGCGCTAAGGTGACCTAACTCTCATACCATAACATAGACTTATGGTAGTCTTAGCTCTAAGGTGACCTAACTCTCATACCATAACATAGACTTATAGTCTTAGTCTAAGGTTATTTTGTACAAAGGCATCCAGGTCATTTGTTGAGTGACTATGGTTAATGCCAGTGATATTAAGTGGGAGACACGAGAAATGGGCTTATGTGGGGATTCAAACCCAGGTCTTCAACAAGGCTAACCCTACTAATCCCCAGGTTGGTTAGTCGTCGAAACTAATTTGACTGAAGTCATAAAAATACCTCCATCATCTACTGACTCAAGTTACTGCTTCAGTTCAATCTGCCAGTCAGTGGTTACTATTGTTACAATGTTCCATGTTCCCAAATTACATACTTCCATCCACTGGAAATGAGCATGGGAGCCTACAGAATGGTCTCCCTTTCAACAAACAACTTGTACATCTTCAGTGATATTAGGTCCTTTAAAGCAGTAAAATAATAATACCTGAATGTATATCAACTTCCATGACACGCTGGAAAGGACACGCTAAAATAAACAATTTAATATAATATTTGGCAACATTTGGCCAATAATCCTTGTTTGTTCAGGTGAGGCTTAGAAATATAAGAGAGACTGATGTGTCAACAATTGTACGGCCCACGCCTCGACCAATCACTTCCTGGGTTTACTGCTGAGATGTCAACTATGTACATATGGATGGAGGATACAGACAACAGTCACTTATCCCTCAGTAAATATGTACCAAGTATATCTCAAACATTCCATGTTAGTCTCTAAAACACACCAATATGTTGACAATATGGAGGAATAGAGCACCCCTTTCACTGGCCATGAGAAGCATCACACAGTTTTCAACTTGTGAATATGATGGAGCTGTGAAATATTACGGCTCTATCAGTTGAAGATAACTGAAAAGGTTTCAGCGCCTGTGAAGATTCTGTGTTACAATAGGTCCCCAGAAACCTCTGTTTGTCATGTGAGGTGACTTAATGGATTGGGTGGTCAGGCTCGGTGACTTTTTGGATGTGTGTTATAGTACCCACGGGACATTGGCTGGAATATGAATAACTGGTTTGTCTAGTCCAGACTCGGTTGTTTACAGAAATATGGCTGAATGGGCAACAAATGACTCTGACATTGTGGAATCTGTGTGAGACAAACCAGAGTGTGAGTGAGTTTAGTTTTACGCCCCTTTTAGCAATATTCCAGCAATATCACGGCTGGGGGACACCAGAACAACACAGGACAAGTGTGAGTAAGTGTAGTTTTACAACACTTTTAGCAATATTCCAGCAATATCACGGCTGGGGGACACCGGAACGACACAAGACAGGTTCACATGAGGACACACAAGCCAATGTTAATGGCACACCGTTACTTCATATTCATGTGTTAAATCTATGTTTACATCCTCATAAAATGAGCAATTAAGTATTCAGTACCTTTTATATCTAAAATATTCTTAAAGGATGTGTCTCAGAGACTCCATTTGATAACGATCAAATAGACACATAAACACATCTCAGGGAGAAGATCTTCACGGAACATACATATTTATGGAAAGGGTCATAAATCATACATATAGCGTGTAGGGATTAACTCTACATCCATCATCCCATCAGTGCAGGTTTATATTGGTCTTCAGCAGCCACTGCTTGTTGTAAGTGGTGACAAATGGTGGCCATGATTGCAGACCTGGTGGATGCGTGTCATGGTATCCCAACTACATAGATCGATGGTCACAATGTCAATCACTGGATTGCTTGGTACAGATTTATTTTTACAAATCGCTACATTGTAGGGTATGGTGTAAGATATTTCTAGCAATATTGTGGGAGATGTGATGTAAAATGGGCTTCAGACCTGGAACTGAGCTAGCTCAAATTGGAACAAGCCTAGGTCACACTGGACCCAAACGAAGTCACATTGACCCAAACGAAGTCACATTGACCCAATCTAGGCCATACAGGATTCATTAATCCTGTTTTAAACAAGACAACCACTGGCCTTCTCTAATGTCCTAAAGACATCAGTGGTAATTCTGGGATCATCTTCATCAGATATGACAGATGATGGGAAACAATACAAGGAATAGTTAGGGGAATACTTATTGAAAATTAACTTTGAAGACTGAGAAAAAAACCCATTCATTCTGGGAGGGTGAGTGTTTTCTAGAGGGCACTAGGGATGAAGTGTCATGACTCATTAAAAGATGATCACTTGATCCTCCCATATCCATAAAATATAATATTTTATCAGCATAATATTTACTCATATCTTGCCAAAAGAGGCAGAAGTCTGAATGTAAATGAATTAATGTATAATAACCAGAGAATAACTCATCTATAAACCTTAAAATGTGTAAAGCAGGTTTCATAGCCATAACTGAACTGAAACTGTGGAGTGTCAGACAATCCCAGCTCAGCCTGCCACTGAGAAGTCACCATGATAAGGGAGGTAACTCCTCAATACCAATGTGACATATGACACACAAGTAAAATCACTGCAGTGACTGAAGTGTTAATGTTTTTAACGCTAATGCAATGAGGCAACACCTTGAGCAAGCTGTGTATTGACAGAACTTACTCAGTATATGTAACGAAAACCAAAGATATGTCCACAAGGTAAAAGAACACTATTTTGTAACATGTACCCAATATACATCCATGAGATAACGTTACAGTTTTGTTACATGTACCCAAGATACATCCACAGGATAAAGGGTAATATTTGAGTTATAAAACATGCACCCAATATACATTTATGAAATAAAGGGAACTTTCTCAAACCTCCTATCTGACATCAAATGTACCAAAGATCCAATGATCATATGTGTTTTCTTTATAATAACAAAACAAGGTCTTGCATGACATCAAATGTACCAAAGATCCAATGATCCTCAATACAGCTATATACAACACCTACCAACAAGGGGACTGCTTCGTCCAGGGATGGGGCTGCTGCTGGCGGAGGAATGGGGGCTGCCATATCTCCTGTTGTCTGCTGGGTCCGTTATGCCATCGCTGCCGTACTGGAGGAAGATCTTAACCTCCTCTTCCTCTGTTCCATGAGCCTCCAGCAAGATGGACATGTTCTCCTCTGGGTTGATCTCCCGCTCTGTGAAAGACACACACATTGTATTCTTCCCTTGATTCCTTTGTCACATATGTAGAGTTTCTAGAGTTTCTAGAGGTGAGGTGGGGTGAGGCGAGGCAGGGTGAGGTGAGGAGGGTGAGATGAGGCGGGGTGAGGCAAGGTGGGGTGAGGTGAGGTGGGGTGAGGTGAGGCAAGGAGGGTGAGGTGAGGTGGATGAGGCAAGGAGGGGTGGGGTGAGGGTGAGGCGAGGTGGGCTGGGGTGGGGTGGGGTGGGAGGTGAGGTGAGGCGGAGTGGGGCGAGGCGGGGTGAGGGGAGGCGGCAGTTTACCATTGAAGACTTCCACTTAATTGCAATATATATTTGTATACATACACACACACACATGCACAGAAGTCCAACACCATTGTGTCAAACTTCATGTTGACATTTCCTTTTTAGTCACCATTTAGCAGTTGTATCAAACCTCAGATGTCTTGAAGTATTTGCATAGATCCATTGAACTTCAGCACACCATGTTTGACTATGTAATCTCTAGAGACATATATATCTTGCCAACTAGTTGTTCTTATAACCTTCTTGGGTAACAAGAAGTAACAAGAAGTTTAGTGTGAAGTTTAGTGTGAAGTTTAGTGGTGATTCAACCAACAGCCATCTGCTCCTCTCCACACTCTGTCCACTAGGCTACCGAGGTGATTTTGTGAGAGTTTGTAAGTAACTGAGTGGAATGGACACATAACTCTTTCATCAATATTCAATTACTATCATGACAGTAGATCAGCTATATGCTTCAGGCATTGTATGGGTGTGTAAAATAGAGCTCAGGTCTTATGTAACATGAGGTGAGGTGTGGTGAGGTGAAATTGGGTTTAATGTCGCGCTGGAGAATATTTCGCTCATATGACGACGTGCATGCGTGTGTATGTGTACGTGCAGCTGCTTGTACTAGCCCAGACTGAATCTAGTTTTATAGTTCTAGCCCACTGAGATACCATGCCGCAATGAAGCATGAATACCCCACTCAGACACATTATACTGACTCCAGTCCTTGTTGTACCCATTAATGCCGAGTGCCAGGCAGGGACCAACAAGTACCATATTTTAACGTCTTTTGGTATGACGCGGTCGGGGATCGAACCCGCAACCTTCCGCTCTCCGGGCGGACGCTCTAACCACTACACCACGGGGGCGGTCTTTATGCAACATGAGCAAATGTGGGTTTCCTCACCACCCCAGATCATCTCTGAACTACTTTACGCTCATGACCGTATATTATACAACTAAAGCAGGGACACTTGTTCGTAATGAGTGAGTGAGTGAGTGAGTATAGTTTTACACTTGGATCACGGCGGGGGATACCACAAATGGGCTTCACACATTGTGGGGAAATTAACCCAGGTCTTCAGCATGATGAGCAGACACCATTACCCCACAGCCCCAGAATGCTGATGAAAACATCTGCAATCAGCAATAGTTCAGCTGAATAACAATGGCCTGTAAATAATAGAGTCTGGACCAGACAAACCAATGATTGATAACACGAGCACCAAAAATACAAAACAGCCACCATGTCCAATTTCCAATCCAATCTCATCAGCTCTGAATTAATCTCAGAAGTTAGATTACCCATTAAATGTTAAAAGAATTTACAGAATACATAGAATTAATCATGGGAGCATGTATTCCTGGTAGCCTGCCCTTCTGGCTTACCGTAGTTCTTCCATCTCTCCACCAGGCGGCAGTCCTGCACGCTGGGGTCCCTGACACAGTCGATGACATCTTGACCAGTGGAATCAGGGGTGACAGGAACCTCGACACTTGCCGCATCATCACCCAGGTGAACACGGAGAATAATCTGTGGAGAAAATATTCACATGTATTTTGTGTTGCACTGTGAAAGGGAGGTAACTTTACTCAGACTATTATCCCACTTTAACTCACTTTACTAATCTCAGAATTTTTGTCGACGTATGATAAAAGTTGTTTAACAAACGATGATAGATTCAAATCACCATTATTGGTTTGTATTACAAGGGGTGAGCGCAGTAGATGGAACAGTGAAACAAATGCATGCAGTACGTGATGAGCGTTAACTTAAACCAACACTACTTGTTCTTGATGTTTCATTTAAAGTGCATACCCCTTGTAATACAAACCAATAATAGCGATTTGAAACTATGATTGTTTGTTGAACAACTTTTATCCTAAGTTGAATAAAATTCTGAGATTTGAATGTTCAATTGGCAAGGTAAAATTATGAGGATTCGCAATCATAATTTCACTTTATTCGATTTACCTTTTTGTTTAGAGTGAAATTCATCGGTGTGTTTTCACTGCAAACAGACTATAATTGAAACTTAAACGATGATAAGAAAAGCAAACATCCAAATGTCAGCCAACACTTCTCCTTGTCCCAGTCTGTCCTACAGACCCCAGAGCATATATTAAATAAAACCTTTACCAAATCCTCTCTCATTTTCATCTCAACTGTAGCAGCCTTTAATAATTCCAATATCAACTGTAGCAGCCTTTAATAATTCCAATATCAACTGTAGCAGACTTTAATAATTCCAATATCAACTGTAGCAGCCTTTAATAATTCCAATATCAACTGTAGCAGACTTTTCTCTTTTCTTGACTGTAGCAGCAATTTCTCATTTATTTTTTGTCCTCTGTTGAGATTAGAAGACTTGATGGTTTCTTTTACCCTCACTTATAACACAACCTGGTGATACTTCTACTTCACCTTGTACTTAACTTTATTTTTTGGACAGTATGTTATCACAGTCCTTGACATGAACATCCTTGTCCCAACATTTACGTCTTAGACAGATGACTGGGTCAGTCCAAAAATGGAAACCAAAAACATGAATGGTTTTACTCAGAACAAACCGGAATGTTCAGTAAATCACTGATGAGCAACCAGATTACTAGAACAGCTCTCGTTTTCCCACTCACGTGGACCCAAATCTTGAATGAAGACAGGCTATCATGGCTGAATGCCAACATCACAATCTGAAGTTTCACTCACAAAAAGAACAGCTGTACTTTGACAGATAATCTGAATAACAGAAAGGTTTCTCAAAATCCAACCTGTGAGTGAGAGTAAGTGAGTGAGTGAGTGAGTGAGTGAGTGAGTGAGTGAGTGAGTGAGTGAGTATGAGGATTGAGTGCTTGTGCACTGTATGCCCAGTGAGTGAATCATGCATGGGTATCATGCAGAGTGAGTGAGTGAGTGAGTGAGTGAGTGAGTGAGTGAGTGAGTGAGTGAGTGAGTGAGTGAGTGAGTGAGTGAGTGAGTGAGTGAGTGAGTGGTTTCACCCCACTTTTAGCAATATTCCAGCAATATCATGGCGGCAATATCAGACCAGAAATGGGCTTCACACATTGTACCCAGGCAAACATAGGAACATACACAGTGCAAACGTTGATTCGAAACCACGATTTAAGGTTTTGACATGCCTGAGGAACATTACTCCGCACAACAAATTGCAGTGCCTTCACCGACGGAGCCACCTATGCCCCAAAACGTAAAACCTAACCTAATTGACTTACAAGGTGTGTGGCACCTAGCGCTACAGTCTCTCACTGCACCACACATCACACGCATTCTCTCACATGTTTTCAACAAATATTTTTGTATGACCTGACCCAGTTATTTTTTTGTAAAGACATCCCAAGTGCATTCATACCATCAATAACTGAGTGTAGACAGTCACAGCTCATAACCTATCCCAGCCTTGATCCAAGGCTCTCCTGAATGACAAGTCTATGGACGTATAGTAATTCTATCCTTATAACAGGTAGGTCTTGATAAGCGATAGTGAGGACGCCAGACTTTCATCAGGGCAAATAGTTTCTATTATTCATATTATCGGGAATTAAGGATTGTATTTATGAAAGTCTACCACTCTCCCTGAGTATCACAGCACTATAGGAGTACTGTGCTCGCTTGTTGAGATTATCAGCATACTTGGCTCAGTACCAGAACATAAGCCGTCAAAATAACTACCAGTATGTTTCCTGTCTCGGCTGCTAGCCGTGCAGTGACGTGAGCTTGTCTTCACACTAACTGATACATTTGAAATTAATCGACCACTACACATTTATAATGTATTAACAAAGTTCTGATAACTTAATGTATTCAAGTTAATGACTTGAATGATAAACTTTTACTTTGAATTTTTTTTCTGTAAAAGCAGTTATGATTGTCCCAAATTACAAAATACATGTACCGGTAACAGAATTTTCAAGCCAGTGCTCACACTTGCCAAGCATTCAGGGTAGCTGTTTTTATATCATGGTTCCACCAATCTGGCATGAAATGACTTGAATTTCTTTTTAACTGGATTAGAAAATGTTCATTATTAATGTGTTAATGCTTAAAAAATGTTCAAAGATAAAAAGTCAATGATATCATGTGTTCAGAGGTCATGATAACAGCACAGGATTTTGCAAGCAAATGATAAGTTCAAATATTTAAAGACAGATAAACATACATGATGTAGAGACAAAACATTGAGTGCAACTAGCGTTCATTGATAATGGATAGTGAAAAAATGAAGCCTATGAAAATGCATAATATATTTGATATTTGACAGATTTACAGACAAAGCTGAACCTTGGGGTTTTGAACCTGAACAGTGAGTGAGTGAGTTTAGTTTTTACACCGCACTCAGCAATATTCCAGCTATATGGCGGTGGTCTGTAAATAATCGAGTCTGGACCAGACAATCCAGTGATCAACAGCATAAGCATCGGTCTACGCAATTGGGAACCGATGACATGTGTCAACCAAGTCAGCTAGCCTGACCACCCGTCCTGTTAGTCGCCTCTTGTGGCAAGCATGGGTTGCTGAAGACCTATTCTACCCAAGATCTTCACAGGTCTTGAACCTGAACAGAAAAGTGGCGCCTAAATGTTTTCTGTTGCTATAACAAATTTAAGATCAAGGTAACTTGGGCACCATTGCAATATGATTATTTCATTTACATTCATGAGGAGAGGTGGCCCAGTGGTTCATGTGTTGGTTTGTTCAACACTCAGAAGATCTAACTATTATATTGTATACAGTTTGAGAATCCCACTGTGGTACACCATGAAACAGGTTCTAAACAGGGTGGGCAAGGTACTTATGGACTGACACTTTTACACCATCAAGTAGATTATTCTTGGAACCAGTGAAAATTAATCAATAACTCTGGCACTGTTGGAAAAGGCCAAAGTGTTTTTAAACACTGGCATAAACCAAACAACATGAAATTTGTTTCAATCTTATGACGACAATGATTGATGTCAGTTATACTAAGGTCAAGGCAAACATTCCAAGGCACTGTTCCATGAACATGCCTCAGCACTGACAGTCCTAACTGTATGACGTTGATTTAGACTTGCAACAACTGTGGTGCTAAGATGATAACACTCTCTGGTAAAACTAAACTCATGACAATCGTAACGCTAAGATCACTTAGTGTATATGACATGTCAAGAGCAGACTCAAGTTCTGAAACTGCGGAGACAATTGTGGTGCTGAGATGAATGTAACACTTTCCTAAAACAAAACTTATAACAATCGCAGCGCTAAGATCTCTTAGTGTATATTACATGTCAAGAGCAGACGGAGGTTCTGAAAATGTTTCCAGCTCAGACAAACTGTGGCTTCAGTATCTCCCCTGACAAATGATACTGAGTTCTACCTGCTCATTAGGTATTCCAGGACACAAAGTCCACCAACTTCTCACACACTCGCTGGTGGCAGTAAGCCTATTAGCTTAATCCTGCTGTGATATTGCACATATCTCACACGGTATGGGTTCCAATGATTTACAAACTGCCAGGTAAAAGAAGTGACCGTACATGCCTTGATTGGGCTCCTGAATTGTAGTTTAACACATAATGTCAGTGGGCCTGCTGACACTGAAATTTGGGATCATTTTTTCAAATTGCTTGTATTCAGAACAAATATTAATGAAAATATTTATAAAGGTTTTATGAGTACACAAATCAATAAAATAAGATTTTCATCTTGGCCTGCTTCTTTCAGTTCCGTCCCTATGTTCCACCATCCACCCTTGGCTGCCAGTTGTCCCCCTTAGTCAGGATAGGATCAGCTGATCATTGGTTTGAATACCAGATTCCCATGTTTCTTTGAGTGTTGACACATTACACACCATTGGTTTCACTGACAGAAAAATGTCTCAGACCATTCCAGCAGGACTAACATGAAATCAGGATTTCATAAAAATACATACATCTTCTGAGTTTGTAACTACCTTGCTACTTACTTGAAACAGACAAAAAGGAAGACCATTTTTACACTTTCCATCAGAATTGTTTACTTCAAGTTTGAAACAAAATTGAAACATTGAAAATCAGTTCACAATTATAGCCCTCAAAGCTACTAGTCAATGAGGACTACCATAATTGAATTTTCACTTGTCCTCACTGCACTTTAGTAGTCTCGGGCCAGCAGACTAGCATGTATTTTGAAGATTGCATCACATGGTTAAAGCAAAGACTGCAGGTTGATCAGGCTGGAAGGCTCTGATGGTGAGACACTGCATATAAAGTACTTTGTACAACAGCTTAATTGAAAGCCTAGACACACTTCTTGTCTCTCGTAAAACATAAATGTAGCTATGGCAACTGAGTGGGAAATTATCTACAACATTCTCATGGGTTAAGCTGTTCCATAATCAAGGTGAAACAAAGCTTCCCATTGTGTAAAGAAATTACTGGTGAACCTTGCCACAGGCAAATGTCTTGAGACAATGTGCCTTATTTATTTGGGCGTTACATGCAACCTGTTTAACAAAGTAGTATGATTTAATAAAGCATCTTGACATTAACATAACT